CTCTGGCTGCGGGACACGACCGGCACAAAGCCCTGAGCCACAGGACGGCACAGCCGGGTTTCACTGAGCTCCTTGCTCTGCCTTATCCCACCGCTCCTTAACACAGAGCCCTATTTCCCACGTTTCTCCTGGCAGAACCATTCACCAGGCACAGTTCTTGCCATTTTCCTCCCCTTTTGGCTACGTTTCCCCATGGACAAGTTTTCACGGAAAGGAAAACGGATTTGTTTCCCCCTCCAGCTGCTGATCCCGCTTCCACGTTACCCGTCTCCACTGCTGCGCTCAGCCCGCTCGGCAGCACCGGGCCGGATCCAGCTTTTCCAAATTACGCAGCAGCTTTCCAGTAGTGCAGGGGAGGGAAGGAGCCGTGACTGTGAAAGGCTGCTGGTTATGGCCCTTTCCAAGCGCAAGCTGAGATTCCCTCCTCCTAGCCATCGCACCTGCGGAGAAGTCCTGGAGAACTAATCCCAGCAGCTCATACAGCGGCCAATAAAAGCTCAATAAAAACCCAACATTATATTCCTTAAATACAGCAGCTTTCCAGTAGTGCAGGGGAGGGAAGGAGCCGTGACTGTGAAAGGCTGCTGGTTATGGCCCTTTCCAAGCGCAAGCTGAGATTCCCTCCTCCTAGCCATCGCACCTGCGGAGAAGTCCTGGAGAACTAATCCCAGCAGCTCATACAGCGGCCAATAAAAGCTCAATAAAAACCCAACATTATATTCCTTAAATACTCACGGCTCTCAAGCCAAACTCGCTCTTTCTCTGCTCTGTCCTCCACGGAAGCACCGATGACCTCACTGCAGCTTCTTAGCTTGCTTACTACTATTTTTTGGCAAATCCTCTTCAAATAGTTGTGTTTTTCTGTATTTTGCATTTATCAGCACTTCCCCTCCCTGTCCGCACGGAGCAAATATTCCCTAATTCAGGTTTTTCTACTCCAATTATGGCTTTATAAACCCAGAGCATCTCCTGCTGCCAAAGGCTGCACTGGTGGCACGGGGCGGGGAGGGCAAGATTTTAAAGATATTTTGGCTGCTGCTACTTTACAAGAACGCTTCTGCAAATCAGAGAGTGATAAAACAAATAGTTCACAGACTGGAGTAGCTTTTCCTCTTCTTTTCCCAAACTCCCCCCACCCAGTTACAGACTCGGCCCAGCTCTCTGCGTCCCGGACGGGGGGAGGACGCGGTGGGCTGGGGCTCTCCCTCCCCGCCGCTCAGCCTGAGCCTGAGCACTGCTGACAGCCTCTCTGCGTAATCCACAAACGCGAGCTGACAAG